AAAAACTGGCTCAATGACTGATTTGTGGGAAAAATCAGTCATCACTACATAAACGACGAAGTCTTAGAAACTGTCTAAGATACAATAGTTCAAACCTGAACAATACAATAGTTCAGGTTTGAACTATTGTATAGTCATTCCTTCGACAGATTAATCTCAATTCCAAACAAAAGGGAGCGCAGGAGGAAATAGGTTAATGTCAAACTTAACGGTTTTCAAAATGGCGGGGATTTTTGAAAACCGTGAGTACCCTGGGTACAAGATACGGTCACATGAAGATTGTGAAAGCCAACGTGGGTATATTATCTGAAAATTGAAGTTTATCACTCATTTTATTAAGGTTTGTTCTTGATTTATGGCGTTCGAACGTGTTTTCTTTTAGAAAATTAGATGCACTCTCTCGCACACCGTAGCGGGGATGAAATGGAGAAGTTTACTGATACTTGGATCAGAAAGATTTGTTTACATCTAACCTGGTAAGACTTTCACGTTTACTTTGAACAGTCGAAGCTCTCTCTCGTAAGCGGACAGCTCTACTTACGGCCGCCTTGTTTGAAACCCCGTTTTAACTCCCGTACAAACTCTGTACTTTTACATTCTCGTAAGTGGACATTCCTGTAAGCGGCCGCGGACACTTTCAGGGATTACGACTTAGACTTATTCTTTGTTTTTAAGCTCTCGTAAGCGGGCACCCGAAAGAAAATCAACAACCTCTGTACAGTATCTTGTTTTTATCAATCAACCATTTTACATTGCCGTTCGTCACAATGATTTTACAGTAATTACAGTGCCATATTACAATGTTTGTTTTGTCGTCATCCACGTCCGGTTACATTTCGAAGCATATGCGCTTGTGACTGGAATATTACAACGTTGTCAGCACATTGTAGTCATTAGGAACTCAAGTTTCGATTTTAGCCAAGGCAGAGACATTTTAGTGTCACTATAAAAAATACTCTGGCAAGGAATTTCTCAGCCGTATCCGGCTCCTCTGTTTACTCGCTTTCCCCTTACAACAGTCTTTCCTTTGTTTGTTCCCCGCTTAAAAACTTGCTAACAAACAGCGACATCCTCACAGGAATGTGTCCGAGTATTTTATCGTTCTTGTTCATGGTGTTTGGGTGTTCTTGAGTCGACAGATCACTGAGGTGCATTCCTGTAGTACTGCAGTATACAGTACTGTAATACTGTTCAGTTATCGTCATTATCTTAGGATTGTATAGGGTGCATTAAAACAAAAGTGTCATTTAATACTGCGGTATTTTTTTGTATACCAGCATTTATTGTTAGCTGGGCAAGCCCCCGTAAGCGGCCATCTATCCCCTACACCTCTAGTGGCCGCTTACAAGAACCATTCTTGTAAGCGGCCAGCTCCAGTTACAGACATTTTTATCCCGTCCCGAGGGTGTCCCCTTACGAGAGCTTCGACTGTAACGAAACGCAGCTCAACACAATTGAGCTCGTAAAAGGTTCTTCGTTCTCGTAAAACGAATGCACAAAAGGTGTGATGTTCTATTTTATTGTGAATGTTAATAAATAAATGTAGACTTGCAAAACCCACAATGAAATGGTATCAGCTTCAAGCTCATTCTTGGTGCAAGAAACTGCTAAAAAACGAGGAGCCAATCAGGAAGGCTTTGGAAAATAAGAGTCACAAAACGGAGGAAAGCCACACAGGTTCTTACACTGGGGTACATGTAACCAGGGGATAACTTACTTACATGTACATTTCTTGGCTTACATGTACTATGCAGCTATTTTATAACCAAGCTAGTATTGTCTGAGTGAGCAATAATGCTTCCTGATTAGCTATTTAACCAACTTACAAACTTATTTACAGACTCAGTGTGTGGTTATAGTAAATATCCATACAGTAAATATCCATGGATGGCTTGTCAACTTAAACTTGGCCCCTCTTACCCTTTGAAGAAAGATTTCTGCATAATCCCATACTTTTCTCAAAAAGAGCAGTGGTCCCAAGTCTAATTTGTTGTTTTTTCATTGTTTTCTTTTACCCAAGTACTCTATTCTTATTGAAGTGCAGCTGTATGAAGTTCTACAGAAATCTTTCTCCCCAGGGAATTTAAAATAACTTCAATGATCCATCTCCCCTGTAATATTCAATGCAATAAACAGGTACCCTCAACCTCATTCTTAGAAATCCAAACAATTCAGTCCTTAGTTTTTGCTGTGCATTATTTTAAAATGAGATGTTTACATTTACAAACAATATAAAGCTCTTTTATTGATTAGATGTAAATGAACTTGTGATGTGTAAGCGATAGGTGTTACTAGCAAGGAAAAGGGTAAGTCTGCAGTCAAGTCATGTGGCCCAACTAGCCGGAGCTTATTCAGGTTTCCATGTAGCATGCAGTGATTAGGAGTATTACTACTTCCCCCCTGGATGGGATGTTGGTCTATTAAAAGGTTACCCCCCTAGCATTTTCAGGGCTGTGGTCTAGCAGTGCCTGGTGGCCACTGGCACCTTACTTTTGCCCCTGGACGACTAGGGAATCTTAGTTTTTTTTATAAAAGCATATGCTGGGCACCCTGGACTTTGCAGTTTCAGAGCACTGGGCTCCCTTCAATTTTTCTTAGAGCACAGCCTTGATTTTATCAGACTTCTGCGACAATTTGCCGGTACCCATCAGTACTCCAGAGTGAAGAGGGGTACTGTGAGATTGCAGTCGAACCTTCATTATTCAGACCTCGATCATCGTGATTTCTCAATTACCCAGACTTTTTCTCTAGTCCCAATTTTGTCATGAATATTTACTAGTCATGATCAAGAGCCGTAACCATTTTCTCTTTAAAAGTGAAGCAAAGGCCATGTTCTTCTTTAAGACAAAAATGGCTTACTTTGACATTTTAGGCCAATGTAAAAACATATTTCATCAATTTTAATTGTTAATACACATGTGTTGAGGTATTCACAATGGACAGTGAAGATATAGACCATATTTTTTTCAAAACAAAGTATTTATAAATGTTTTGGTATCATAATTAAATATTGCTTTGTTAATTAAATCAGTTTTTGTTCCTCATTAGCATTCATGTTCTTGATTATCCAGACTATTTTGTCTAGTCCAACAAGTCTGAATAATCGAGGTTGAACTGTACTTAAAAGTATCTTGCCCAAGAATTAACCTTAACTGAGTAACCCTAACCCTAAGCAACACATTCACCCAACCACTCAACCCAACCTCTCAATGTGGAGTCCAATGCACTGACCATTATGCAGTTGCATCTCCCACAGGCAGTAAAGTGGACTGAGTAGCAAATGATAACTTGTACACTGTTAAAATCAGGGCTCAACACTAAGGGTAGCCCAGTAGCCACAGACTAGTAGAAATTCAGTTTTGGCTAGTGGTTTTCAATTTCCACTGGCCAGTTTGGCTAGTAAACAGACTGAAATTGTCGTAACATCTAAGAACATCTAAGATGTCACTGGTCACTTGGCTAGTAAGTTGAAAAATTAGTGTCGAGCCCTGAATATGTTGATGATTTTGTAATGTCAAGCATAATTCTGCAAAGCAACTGTGTCTCTTTTATTTATGAAATCATCTCGAGTTTTGAAACTTTACCCTGGTTTAGAAACACTGTGTTGTAAGAAGCAGAATACTGATTTCTGTTTCCCCTTTGAAATCTGTGTTTTGTTTGCTTCAATTTACAAATTAATGGTTTTTCAGTATTGTTAAAAATTAGTAGAACTAAATTGTTTGCTTGTTTTGTTCTTAGTAAAAGTGAAACTAATTCAATGTTGCTCAAGAAACAAAATGAATGCGAGCACCTTTGGCAGTGGCACTGAGTCATTCAGGTAAGCAAAATTATATTAAATGCTGTATTATGGGATGCATTGAGGGCAGGGCAAATAGGTTGGCAGATTTAGACAAATCTCAAGCCTAGTTACATTATAAAACTATATAACTTCTCACAGACTTCTGGATTTTCCATGTTGTGCTTTGAACTTGGGATTCTACCTTACAAAAATTATCAGAGGTGAAAAAAAAACATTACAATTACAAATGAAAACAATACAGTATATCTTGACCCCTACAATAGAGAGATAGGTTAGTTAAGTTAATTAATTCTTTTGTCAAGCGCAAAAAGAAATTGAAAATATAGATATGGAGACGAATTATACATTAGGTCAGAAGCATCTTGATTCATAGTAATTTTTTTCCTAAGAAGATTTTAATGTTTGATTTTTGTTCAAATTTATCAATAAACTCAACAAATCACAAGCTTTGGAAAACATTTTTTGGTGGTTTAAGTACTATTTTTCTAAAAGTAAACAGTAGTTTAAAATGATGCTCATTATAACTAGAGGTTTTTGTAGTTATTCCAAGAAATAATTTCGTATTGTGATGAGTGCATGTGTATTTTGCATTATAAACAATAAATGACTTCAGTGTAAAATTCTTGAGTTTAGTGAAATTCAAGGCAGGTGTTGAGAATTGAGTGTAGTTCTTTACAATTTATCTATACACTTGTGTTCATCACTTAGGCCACACGTGCATAATTATCTCTTTCNTCTGACTGAGATAGTGACTGACAGAGTCACTGATTGACTGACTAAATAACTGATGGACTGTCATGCAATAGTAGACTGACTGTTTTATGTGACAGACTGACTGACTTGTAGTCTGACCAAGGGGCTGATTGACTTACTGATCAAATAACTGACTGACTGACTGACTCTTTCATTGAAAGACTGAACAACTTACTACAGTGGAACCCCTCAAAACTGGACGCCCTTGGGACCAGAGGAAATGTCCGGTTTAGAGGGGTGTCCGATGTACTGGGGTTTTACCCATAAGGCAATTTTATGCAGCATATAATGTACTGTCTGACTGTAAGTACCAGTACATGGTACATGAGCACTGATAAAGCACATCTGTTTCAGTAAAGGAACTAACAAGATAGAACACAAGGAACCTTTTTGAGGTCAATTTATAATTTACAAAAAAACTCAGTGTTACACACAGGGTAATATGATCGCCACTTTAGTTCATTTGTAGACTTCTTTCTTCTTTAAAGTCCCTATTCACCCTCAGAGATTTATTATATAATTATTTCAATTCTTTGCATTATCAGGATTAATCTCCAAAAAATATTTTTGTGATTGATTAAATATTTCCCGAGATATGCCGCCTGATAGTTACTCTTTTGGCCACTCCCTTTTGACTTGGCTGGGAGAGAATTACTTGGCTGAGTGACATGACAGCAAGAACGAATGTTAACTTCTTGTATAAGAACATGTGTCTATTGCTATAAAAAGATGTGAAAATGCCGACTTGTTGCGTGGTCGCTGGTTGCTCAAATACACCAGATTCGTCTAAAAGCATATTCAAGTGAATGTAGGCACATCGATCGAAAGACATTCTTGCTGTGACGTCATGAGGGACTTTTAGTTACCAGTACTAACTTAGCCCAGCCAAATCAAAAGGGCATGGCCAAAGGACGAAATTTGAGGTGGCATATCTCAGGAAATAATTAATCAATCCAAAAAATTTTTTTGAAGATTAATCCTGATAACGCAAAGAATCGAAGTATATATAAACCTCTGAGGGTGAATAGGGACTTAAAAATATCACCTACAGTTGATTTACCGATCCCAAATTTACTGCTTAGAGCCTTCAGTGTTAGTGTAGGCACTGATTCTGTGCATTTGATCAACTCAATTCTCTTCTCTAATGATAACTCAATTCTTTGGTGTTTTGCTGTTCTCTCAGACATAGTGATGTTTGCTACTTCATTTGTTGAGATTGTTGAGTGATTTCACCCGCAACACGACAGTCTCTTAACCTGACCCCATGACAGCAGCATGATTGTCAACTTTAGATTTTTTGCGTCAGTACCGAACTGAGTTTCTCACTTCTGATTGAAATTTCACAGCTGCATGATTACAATTTTAATTTTAATCACGTTTAAAAGCATGTGATTTGATTATGTGATTTGATTTTGGCAGCTCTCTTAAAACTTTCATGTCCAGTTTAACGAGGTCAATTTCTTTGTCAGTATGTGATTATGCAATGAAAAAAGCGCCTGGGGGGGTTCCAGTTTATTGAGGTTAATAATAGAGAAAATGTATGACAGAGATTTTGGGGCCAAAAAAAAAAGGTCCAGTATAGAGAGGATTAGGGTTTAATGAGAGACCAGCTTAGAGGGGTTCCACTGTATCTGACTGAGTGACAGACTAATTTATTACCTGACTGAGTGACTTACTGACTGCTGGACTGAGTGACTTACTGACTGCCTGACTGAGTGACTTACTGACTGCCTGACTGAGTGACTTACTGACTGCCTGACTGAGTGACTTACTGACTGCTTGACTGAGTGACTTACTGACTGCTGGACTGAGTGACTTACTGACTGCCTGACTGAGTGACTTACTGACTGCTTGACTGAGTGACTTACTGACTGCCTGACTGAGTGACTTACTGACTGCTTGACTGAGTGACTTACTGACTGCTGGACTGAGTGACTTACTGACTGCCGAACTGAGTGACTCACTGTCTGACTGCCTGGCTGAGTGACTTACTGAGCGATAGACTACAGTGAATGGCTTAAAATATGCAGTTTCTTTAATGCATGCTAAATACCTTGCAAACTAGTTTGCATTTAGGGGTCAAGAGGTTTTAACATGTTTATGTTTGTGCATTTGCTTTGCACAATTTGTTTGCTTTTCTCATTGGGACTGTGAAGTCAAATGCAATAATCAGGAGCTTGCAGATGTACTTAACCTCATTGAGAGTAGTTTAAAGGATAGTTTACATATGAGATCTGAGTCAATGAATCTTTTCTTTTTTGTCATAATTGTAACTCTTTTCAGCCAATCCACCAAAAATCATCATGCTTATCTATTCATGTTTCCTGGCTCTATTTGATAAAAATCAATATTTCCAACTATGAAAAGGTCATTTTTTTTTTAAGATTGAAGTAATATCTTATAAAAAGGTAGTCTAATTTGGTGTTTCTATTTCATAACACTATTTTTTTTTAATATCACCTTTTCTATTCTATGCGTGAACTGGAAAGTTAACCTTAATATTTCTCAATTTGTTCAAATATGTTACAGCACCAGGTTATAACATGTTAACAAGGTGTGCTTTTCAGTTTCTACTAAGCACATGTGTATGATTCAAATGGTGAAATTCTCCACAAATAAGAATCTGCTTTTTGTTTCAGTCTCTGTATTTTGCTATAAATGCATGCAGTATTCTGAAATAAGTTTGCCCAAAAGTGGATTCACATATCAGAAAGAAGAAGTACTGTTCAGCAAGCCTTTTGCTTTGCAAAGCTTCTTTAATTGATAAATAGCATATGAAGTAATGAAAGTTAGATAAACAGGCTGTCTTAAGTTCAATATGATGGACGCATTTTTTGTCAATCTAGCTCAGAGTTTGCTGTAGGTACCAAAGAAACAAAGTAACCAACTCATGCATGCCAATGGTGAAGCATGTACAATGTAACATGAGGCCGGCGATATTATAGACAGGAGGCAGAAAGCCGAAAAACCGTTTTTGCTAAAACATTTTGATAGAAGGAAGAACGTTAACATAGCTTGAAATCTTTGTTTTTCCACCCTTGTTAAAATATTGCTGTTTCCATTTAAAAATCTGAGGTCTTCGACGGTCAAGGAAGGGTGGGGGCTCATTCCAGGCTCTCTATCTGCAACATGGAAACGAGGGTAGACTTTCACCACGAAAAACTCACAAAAGTGAGGAACAAGACCACCAAAATGCCGGAAACTGGCAAAACTATTCTACATACGTAATTGGCACTGTATTGACATGGACTCCCACATAAAAAGAATGGGTCACGTTACTTGCATATGCTCATGGCATGACTTAGCTGTGAAAAATATTTAACAGAATTGACAACTTTTTTCGTAAGTTTGAATAATTGAAGTGTTCTCCAAAATCCGAGTGATAATCTCGCTTTCCCAGTCTGGTTACAGATTCCTTTCCGATATAACTGTTCTTCAAAAATTATTCGCAAATTTTGTTGTGATTTTATTGTTATAAGGAATACAAGATCAACTTGTCAGAGTGAAAATTAATCAATGATAGCGTTCCAAGACGCAGCATTGGCATTGGGTTGTCACCATCGCACTGCATACACATACAGCCATAAGCAAATATTCGACCACATCACCTGACGAGAATTAGCAATATGGCAGTGGAAAAGTCGTCATCTCAGCAAAATTGATAATGACCCTGAATCATTAGACAAAAAATCTAAGTTTATATACTGTATCATAAATACGATTTACAAACACGTCTATAACAACAACTTCCCTTTCAAAGAGAAAATAAATGTAAAAAAGTTCGTTTTTAGCTGGTTTAATAGAGGTCATAGGGAAACTCGGTCAATTTCAATAAAAGTTCCTTGAAGAAAGACTTTCAATGAATTTTTATTTTTCATTTATTAATTTATGTATTTCTTCTGAATTCTGCCATGTATTTTTAACACTTTGACAATATTTTCACCCTTCGAAGTTTAATATCGAGTTCAAAACAGCCATCAGCTGAGCCTCCCATTTCGTTATATGATTAAAGACCGTGCAGTAACCGAAGAGCCATTCGGTGCTTTCGTTCCGCCTTTAAAAGTCGGAAAACTCATTTGAATTACAAGTGGTTTTTAAAAGTTAATATTCATAGTTGTGACCAGTTTTACACGTGGAAAGATAGTAAAGATAATTTTCAACGTATTTTGCAGCTTCTCTGGGGCCATAAAACACATCACGTCCACGTTACAATCTAAGATATCGTCCGTCCGTTCTGTCAAGTCCAGCGTGTGTTTCGTTGAGGTTGCTGAGTAAGGTGGCCCAAATCCGACGTCGAGAATACATGAATGTCATTTTGGCACAAATTTCCTTAAGGTAAATAGCCCGTGTATAATTTTCCTATTAAGAAGTGAAGTATTTGTGTCTCTCGCCGTTGCCCTCGTTCAAGTCGCAGCACTGGATACAAAAAGGGAAAGCATGCCATACACTGTACAGAATAAGTTAACCCTCAACTACAGCCGCCATGACAGTTCTCGATGTGCCACGTGATTTACGGACAACCTTGAGAAATTCTTACTTTATGGTTAGTTTATTGATAGCTTAATATGGAGTTATTTCTTACTTCTCATTTCTATACTTGTTTTTTATTCTATATACAGTCTTGCACTTGCGCTCACAGAATGTCAAAATTAGATTTGCTGTGAACGCGCTTGTTTCTTCTCCGACACCCAACCAAGCCCAAAACGATTTGAAGTAGAATCTTTCAGATGAATTAAGTCTCTATCAGGTTCAGTGTAACATTGGATATCTCTCGCCATCTCGATGTAGCCGAATGGAGAAGTCATGGTTGAAACCTTGTGTTATGTACCTTAGCGAGAAAATTCAACATTCACACTAACTCTGTCTATCCGGGAATGTAAATACTTACTGGTGAACTGTCAGATAAATCTGACAAAATACCTAAGAGTACCCTTCCAGAGGAAGAACAAGCGGGGCTCCTAGCGCATGTATCTTTATGTCACAGATACCGGATTATGCTTCAGTAGCTATGGGAGTTACAGTTCATTTCGTGTGTGTAGGAATGAGCCTTTAAATCGAATTAAGTTTCACTTTCTCGGAGGACGTTGAATGTGACTTTACCTCGCTGTATTAGAATGGAAACTTTTATAATCTCTTGGTGGAGTTCTTCCGATCGAGACATTGATCAGCTTTGTCATTCACAATAAACTGACCGGCTTACCTAAAGAAGGGTAAATAGGTATTAGAAATCGATTCAAACTATATCTTCTAGTTTGGTTCTCTCTTTAGGTCAACATCAAGCATAGAATGAGAACATCACGAAGTAAGAAATACGAGGAGGAAAGAAAAACTGGACAACTTTCTACCTGGTTAGTAATTCAAATTTTCGTAAAGAATTCACTCTTGAACTCCTAGATCTCACCAGGAATTCTTCTTACTGTCCGCTATACAATGATTTTAGTTTAGAGAATTTGGCATCTGATCAATTAATCCTTAACTGACGTTTTTCTTCTTTGTATTGTATTGTATTTTTTATTTCCTCCATTTGAACAAATTAGAACCTAATAAATAATTCCAAGAAAGATAAGATGATGGAGAAGGGCATAGTACAGCGAGCCAATTAGATGCCCTTTACGTTTAAGTACATTTCTCATATAGTACAAAGAAGCGATGCAGATATAAGATACAAATATCAAATAACAAATATGCAAATAAATCATGATCAGAGGAAGACGTTAATCAGCACTGAGAAAGGTAATGTAATAAAAGTGCTCTATTAAAAAGTTTTTTAGTGGGTCCCTTCCGTATAGATATAGGAATATCATTCCAATAATAGCACCTTATAACTGTTGAAAAGAATTTCCTTATATTTATTCTGAATCGGCTAGGGTTCAAGTGTTGCAAAGATGTACTTCTAGTGGAGTAATCATGGATCTCTTTGTCACAAAGACAGTGCAAAAGATTTTATGTCTACAATATGATCGTAAAATATTTTTCTTTATTCTCTCATTGTCCGCTTGACATGTATTGTTACCGTAAGGAGAAATTCTTTCGTGAACACTCATGAGAGATAAAGGGTTAAATAACTCCGTTTAAATCATTAGCGGACTACAATTAAAAACTATCTGAGTCGAAAAAAATGATCTAATCTCCTAGTTTACAGTGCTTTTGATGTGATTAGTCATTTGCTTTGTTTCTTATGGAAAACGCTGGTATCAAAGAGATACGTAATGGTTATCGTACATGAAATCCATCTACTTATTTATCACAGCGATCTTTTAACTTGCCAAATATTCCATTAACTTCAACATATTTCTCGAGAATGTCTTGAAAAGGGGAGACAAAAGACCTTGTTTTTAAAGCAGCAAGCCTAATTATATTATTGTTAGGGATTTTTCAGCGGATAAAATACAATCCGCTTTTTTTTTCTTTTTTTTTTTACCTGTAAAAAAACGTACATTTATTACGAGGTAATTATCTAAAGAAAGGTATGCATGTAGTCTTATGACATTCTTTTTTTACTTCCAGGGCAGAGTAAAGCATAGAACGAAAAAAAAAGTCTGGTAATCAAGAGATAGAAGGGAGGAAATGGAGAGGGTAGCATTCAGTAAGGTTTGTTATTCAGTTTGTGACGACTGATTAACTTGTCTAAAGCTTGTAGTGGTGGTTTCGCTAAAAACAAAAATAGCTTGGTTTTCTCCATTCCCTGATCTATTCGATGTCTGTCTAAATAGTTTACAGTACTCTGATGAAGCGATAATACTTAAAGGCTACGTTGCCTGTAAAAATTGGCATCGAAGAAAGTCTAAGTCATAATTTGTTATCTTATGAGAAACCCTTTTTCCTTGCTAAAAGGTAACGGTTTACTGTGTCACTCGCACGTGTGATTTGAGCTTCACTGTAAATCTTCGAAGTAACTGCACTGGCCGGTTATCACTACTTTTTGTTGCATGATGCATACAATGCTCAAATATAATCACCTGTGGCCTTCGTCAAGTTATGGGGATTTAAAAATTTAAAATTGTAGTTGGGGGCTCTTATTTACCGTTTGATACAGAGATTGATCTTTGGAATTTATAATATTTAGTTCTTGTCGAATGATAGGTATGCTTGATTTCACAAAATATTTTCTTTCTTTTCTTTAGGAAACTATAAAGCATGGAATGAGAGAACATCTCGAATTCAAGCAATTCAGACGAAAAAGAAAAAGAGGAAACATTCTAACAAGGTCAGTTATCAGTTTTTTTTTTTTTCATTTCGAAATACTTAACTAAACATTCTGCATTGAACACTTAAACCTGTAATTAACGGTCTGCATTTCAAAACTAGTCAGAGTTAGAAAATATTGAAAATGCAAACTGAAGAGTAAAAATAATTCTATTTATTACATCTATTTTGAAATCCCTCGTGATCCTTGCAATCTGATTGGCTCATCTGTGCGATTTATTCACACATCGCAGCATTTTCAAGTTATGCTCTTAATCGCATCTTTTCCTGGCCGAATGAGACGGTTTTATTAAAACACAACATCCCATAAAAGTTCAAGGCTTGTTTAAAGAAATCAATCAAATTGCAGGGAGAGGAGAGACAATTTTTGCAACTTTTTACAAAGCAGCTTAATCTACTGCATAAATAAAATATTTGTGCAGACTAAAACTTGTATTGAGCTACTGAATTTTGCGATTTCAAAATAGATGTAATAAAGTGGTAATTGAGCTTTGTGTCGTGCAATTTTGGTATAAAATCATACTTGCTGCGCTGATTTCTTGGATCTGCTTCTGATGGAACTGGTGTTCAACAGCTTACAGCACTGTTTGCTTCATTAAACAATATGCTCAAATAAAGGAGATTTTTTTCACTTGTTCAGCAAATTTTTCTAAAAAAAACCGGAAATATTTAGCTTAAGAATTAAATGACATTTACTCGTGAAATACGTTCACTGAAGAGATGACTAAAGCTCGTAAACATTGTCAATCAATCAAACATTTAAGATGAAGTTAAACTCTTTCGACCTAAAATTAAGTACGTTATGAACTTAAAGAAAGGTTTTTCGAGATATTCTAATCTGATCTTTCAGCAAGGGATGGGCTGAAAAGAGCTGTGATCGTTTTTTAGAAAACCTGAGGCGAATGTTTGATCACAGTGGAGTACATTTTTTCCAAGCGATTGTTAAAGATCTGGGCAGTTTTTCTAAGGATCATCGACGAAGCCTTGAGCAACACTCAAGGGAAGTCTCCCCATATCGACAAGTTGCTTGTCCGATAATCCTTTTTGTAGAACAAGCTTGTTCGGTCAAGATGGCTGGATATTAGCCTCATTCATTTTCTGCGTTTTTGTGCACCTCGACTTCGTCTCAGTCCACCAAAACGCAACAAAAAGAACCCTGCCAATATCCAGCCATCTTGACCTCGCGCATGGCCAATAACGCATATTGCCTAATTTCGTAGCGCGCGGGGGCATGGGACTACCGGATTTAGTCCTAAATCTTTGCAGTAGGTCTTGAGCTTTTCTTTAGGTAAATTTAGCAATGTTTCACGAGACATTTCCCTTTTAATCAGCTCATACTTCAATGCCTTAGAAGTGCTTTCCGCCATTTTAAATCTGAAATAATGTGAAAAGTCCCGAAAAATCCGGTAGTGCCATGCCCCCGCACGCGCCATGAAATTAGGCAATAACTTGACACCACTTAACTTTAGGCTATTGGGATTTTAACAAGACTAGCAGTGCTAGTTTAAACATACTCGATGGCTTTTCTGACGAAAAGAAAACTAACCATATGTGTTTGATTTTGTTAATCGATTTTTTTTATGGATTTGCAGAGTCGAAATAAGAGGATGAAAACAGGGATTTAAAGAGGATTGGGTGATGGGAATGGGAAACCCACAGATGGATCGATGACGGAGAACTCGCTAAATTGTGAGTTATTTGAGTTATTATTTTGTCAGTAATTCATAGCAATTCATTACAATAAGCCAAAATACTCATTAGTTTGCCGACTATCCAAAAATATTCTTATGATGTCAGCGTTGTTCGTCTCCTGCATCTATTAATTAGTTAAATTGGTTAGGCAGGGGACGTTAAAGAACCCACTCACGAGATTACTGTGATGTGGTCTGGCCTGTTTACTGAGAATTGGCGGGAGGGGGGCATCTTCAAATAAGTTTCCTTCGATTGTTTTTAAACTGCTGATGCAGTCCGGCCAAAGTCCCCCGAAAAGTGTTGTGATGTGCATTTGATCATATCCATATGTTAATTTGCGCAATATAAATATTAAGTTGTTAAAAAATTATTATTAATTTAAATTTTAATTATTATTAAAAATTATTATTCTATTGAAAAAAGTTCGTACAATTGATAAATTAAATTTCGTTTTTTTTTTTCAAATCGAACATTAAAGACAACTCAAATGAAACACAAAGCTCTTTGGATATCATGAAGACTGATCGACAGGTCTAAAGTAGTTCTCTGTTAAGATAAAGTCTTTCACGTGAGAAAAACATAAATTTTCAAAATTCTTTAATAGCTCTAACAGGAAATGAGTACTACTAAACGATTTACCAACTTAAAATATTAACTTCATGGCTATGATTATTTTTTTTAAATATGAATTGACCACTAATTATTTTCTTATGGATGAAACTTCACTATGATATATCTTCTGTTTCATTGAATGTATCCATGGTCGAATACTACTTCCTGGGAAAACTAAATGCCTCAGGGAAAACAATGCGAGCGTTTTTGAGTAAGGCAGAAGAATATGTATCTTTGATATTTTTGGTAATTTTTGGAGAACCAAATGATTTTTTTTTCTGAAGAACGAGACAACGTTATTATCACTAACTATCGTTCTACGTTTAGCCCATGTTGCCGATGAAAACGTTTTGAAAGAAATTTTTTCCAATTGGAAACTGAAGATTTTTTTCTTGAATCGGACTGAATTTTAAGTTTGCATTTATCAGGGCGAGGGTGTTGTTTAGTATTTATCAATTGATTAATAGCAGTTTTACTTTTTTGAAGTGAGGTAAAACTCCTTTACAAAAGAAAGAAAAGTTCTAAATTTAAATAGGAGATAATTTTACTTGAGAGCTATTTTGACAGCGACTGAAATTCTTATCTGGAATGGAAAAATTGTAGCTCTAAGTTTTTTTTAAAAAATCACACCAAAATTTTACGGTGAGAACTTTGACACGAATTATACATATCAAGGACCTTTTTCAATATTAGCTAATTTCCAAGGGATGGAACCTCGCTCTGAAGAAGCAACTGTTTCAAGTAATGATTAAGTCGTCAAATAACTTTTTAACAGGCGGAAAGCGTCGGAGGAGCATTTTACCTGAATTTGGTGAAGCAAAGTAATTTTCCAAATTTCTGTTGTTTTGGAGGATTTGCTCGCGAACAAACCTTGATGAGTCTTTTGAAGTTGACAAAAAGTTACTATAGAAATCACGCACATATTCCTTAAATTTCTCTCTTCAGCTTCCCTTAGGGGTTGATCTCTGAGGGCCTGATACATTCCCTCACGGCGTACCTCTGCATCAAAACAGAACCTTATCAGAAAGAGCTTTTCAATAGAAGTTTACACTTGAGAGATTACATTATGTTTCTTTTGGCATTTAAGCTGTTTACCAGCGAAAGCAGAAGATTTACGTGTCGACAGTTGTGTAGCAAAATCAAGGCCATTCTTTGTCCTGACTTTCAAATCCCTTCTTGTAATGATTTTAAAAATATTTTGTGTGCACGGGTTAATAGGATTTGTGTTATCTAAGGAAATCAACCAACTAAAGCAGGTGTTAAACTCTAAAACGTCCCTCTCCAAAAATGGATAGTATGCTTAGGAGCATACACATCGCACCAAACTGTTCTGTGAATATTAAGTCCAGACTTTTTTATGCGGAACTTTTGATACAAAAGATGCAATTGTAGACAGTAATATTGCAAAACAACAGACTGGGTCGAGAAAAAAAAATAGAACAACACTTTTGAGCTCTTAAGATAAATTCTACAAGTTTTTTTTTTTTTTTGAAAATGCAACTTTTCATTCTTAAGCAGCCAGTGTTCAAGTGATGCATTCTTCACCAAAAAAAAAAGTGAAAACTTTGCAGCAAGGCATGAGTGCACTGAATAAAGCGAGGGCATCTAATGGCGACCTCCAATATTTTTCAGGATTTTTTTTGTGAGGAAGACTCGTTTCCTCCTCTACTAATCTTAAGTTTAGAAGAATTTTGTTGAAATTACGAATGCGTTCCCACAAATTTCTAAGATCACTGAAGTGCATAAGCTTTCCAGGATTATCCTTCTTTCCCCAACGAATTTACTAGAACTGGTCATTATAATTTCTTTACTTCGCAGCAAAGCCTTCGCCCTTTGTTCGAGAGAAAAACTAAAGGAAAGAGTATTTTTGTGATCAAGGAAGACAGCTTTCACCTCAAACAAGGCATTTCTAAGATGGATAGTACGTGTAATTCAAATATTAAATACTTAACTAGTCGTGGCTCAAACCGTTGCCGAACCAAATCATAAGAAAATCATTTTAAGTGAAACACTTAATATAAAAGATAAATAATCAATTATGTTGTTGTTTCAAACTCAACAAAGGGATCGGAAAATATAAAAATATATGGAGTCGAACACTTTCTCCTCACTGAAAGAGGTATCTTGTGTCATTTACAAAATGTTACATAACGGTTTTCATCCTCAAGATACTTTTGATTCAAATAATGTATCCTTAACCAAACCAAAAACATTAGAGAAAACCATATAAGGTCACCAAACAAATTTTTGGATGTTTTATTTCTTTCGGGATATACAATGGTCACTGAACTGAAATCATACGTTGTAATAATAATGAGCGCGCAAATACAGGATTTTTTAGTCTGTAGAAATATTTTATTTATCCGGTACTGAGCTGATTTATAAAGAGGTTGTCTTTCCTTTTCCTGCCATTATTTGGTTACTTTTATCAAGCCTTGGAATCAGATTGTTTGTAGTGTTTTAGTGAAGATTTCTTGTTGGCTAGGAAAAAGATG